CAAGTAACTGTCAACGATCCAGGTAACCATAACTGATATAATACGCCTTTTCCAGTTTCCGAACTTCATGGTTATATTGGCCATCAATAACTTTCAATCCATCTCAACACTTATTCATCTTTGCCTATAACATTCGTACCTGCAATAAAAGACAAAAATTCATTGCCATCATTTATTGAGTTATCAAAAAAATTTATTACCTTATTTGCCCTGCTCTTTAATTAATACGTCGTTACTAATTGAATTACTTTGGCAATAGTCTTAATTTCCGGTTTAAGCTGCATCCAAAAAATAAAAAAAAACAATCGATCTTCTTGTGCCCTGTTCGATGAAGGTGTTTGATTTTATTGCATACCGCTCTAACATGGGGAACTTGTCGGCTGGTTTGTAAATTCTGTGCCGTGGCCTTGTATTGATCTTTTGATCTCATCACGATCACGTTTGACCCACACAAAGACGCGCGCATGCTCTCTCTCTCACTCTCTGCCTCTAATATAATGACCCACAATTAATTCCAAGGAAATTGATATGCTGATATATCTATCAGACTGAGTGACTGGCTGGTTGGCTGGCTGGCTAGCTTAATATACGTAACAAAATCAAATGAAGGAGGAGCAACAACAATATGAAGACACAGCATAAACATAGACTTATTAAGTAACCCAAGCAACAAAATTCCTCAATGGACTCGTAAACATTTTTTTTTTATGATTTGCCAGTGAAATAAAAATTGGAAACAAATTCGGATTAAACAAAACAAAATCGGATTAATTATGTTTGGGTTTTTTTGTAGTTATTTTATCGGAATATGAAGATCGACAAATGGGGTTGGGTTTAAAAAATAATAAGCTTTTATTAAGAGGCCTGATTTTTTAAAATAAGGAACTTATCTTAATTTCCATTCATTACCTTGAAAATCCCACAAAAAGTCTCTTAATCGGTCTAAAAACCTTCACCTGATTTCCTAAAGAAAAAATACTCTTATCTCCATTTGAGTGAAAGTCTTCCCAAGACCGTCAATCAACATTCCGCCATCATCCTTCCATCAGCTTCATATTTTTGTTACCCCAAGTGGAAGTAGATATTTTCATAGATTATGGAAACCGTTTATAATTTTCCCATAACACCAACAACAACCTCTCCTAACATAAAATCCATTTACACCTTACATCATCTTGAAATGTAAAAAAGCTACCTTACAACTGTATGTGGTTGGTTATTGTCTGATGTTGCAGTACAGGATTTTTTTTGAATTATGACAGGTTAATACGCCCAGTTTCCATTACTTCCGAAAAGATGAGATTGAAAACTGAAGCAGAAAGAGGGAGAGAGAGAGAGTTGTGTTTACTTGATTTGCTGTAAAAATAGCCAATAGATGGCTTGGACATTGTGGGAGATACAAAAAGTAAAATTACATATGGGCTCGTATATGGTCTCATGTGGAAGATAATATCAGAAAAATCTCACAATTTTCCTAAAATAAACTTAGGCAATCTTCTAAGCTCTTTAAATAAAGAGCGCTTGGGGAGACCTTTCCAGAAAACCTTATTATCTTTTTATACCCTCAGCCATATGGCTACAGAGGATATATATCATTTAATACGGCCAAACATGCCTCATCGAAATAATGGTTTTAGACCATAGGTCTCTTTGGACCAAATCCGTTTCAGGACATTTGGAGTCGATTTAGCGATGTCCATCCGTCTGTCTGGCTGGCTGGAGCGCACGATAACTCTAGAAGAGGGAGTATCCGATTTGATTCAAACTTGGTACATCGTAATATTATTGTCAAACTTAGATTGAGTTCGGAGGTGGGTAATATCGGTCCACTCCTTCTGGTACCTCCCACACAAAATGTCAATATTTTCAAAGAAAATAATTTACTGCATAGAAAGAGAAAGGATAATCGGATTTGCAAATCCTAATATTTACATCAGTGCTAGGTCAGGTGCGAATATGGATAATATCGGTCCACTCCATCAAGAACCTCCCCCACATAGGGTCAAAATTTTGAATAATTATAGCTCCCTTATAAAATGTGATGTAAGTGTCAGATTATTTTCAAATTACACACATCACAATATTTTTATTAATACAAGGTCTGCTGTGAAGATGGAATATATCGGTCTACTCCTTCTGATACCTCCCACAAAAATGTCAACATTTTCAAAGAAAATAATTTACTTCTCAGAAAGGGAAAGGATAGTCCGATTTTGCTCTAACTTTGTAAATCTTAATATTTATATCGGTGCTAAGTAAGGTGTGAAAATGGATAATATCGGTCCACTCCATCAAGTGCCTCCTCACAAAGGGTCAAACTTTTGAATAATTATAGCTCCCTTATAAAATGTAAGGTTCCTATTGTCTTCAAATTACTCAAATCACAATATTTTTATTGACCCAAGGTCTGGTGTGTAGATGTAATATATCGGTCCACTCCTTCTGGTACCTCCCACACAAAGGGTCAAAATTTTGAATATTCATGAAGCTCATAAAACACAAAATTAACATCCGATTCAAAGCAGACTTGACACATCTCAATATTTCCATAAACATAAGATCTGTTATAAAGATGGTGGAGATCGGACCTTTCCTTCTGGTACCTCCCCCACAAAGGGTCAAAGTTTTAAATAACCAAAACAATCATAAATTCCGAAATAGGCATCCGGTTCTCTTTAAATTACACACATCACAATATTTTTATTAACCCAAAGATGTAATATTCGGTGTGTAGATGTAATATTCGGTCCACTCCTTCTGGTACCTCCCACACAAAGGGTCAATATTTTGAATAATTATAAAGTTTATAAAACGCAAAAAAAAAAACGTCCCATTCCACTCAGACTTGGTATATCTCAATATTTCAATCGCCACAAGATCTGTTATAGAAATGGTACAGATCGGACCATTTCTTCCGGTACCTCCCCAACATAGGGCCAAGATTTCGAAAAACAAAACGGCGACATTATTCATCGGAAATGTTTCAAATTTCGTATTTGAAGTTCGTTATGGATACTACAGCCTATGAAAAACAATTTTCTGTGCAGGTCTACGTCTTCGTATAGCCCCCATATAATGGTACCTCCCGATATTCGGTTTTTTGATGATTTTAGCGACATTCTTCACCGGAATTGTTTCAAATTTGGTATTTGATGTTCGTAATGGGTACTACACCCTATGACAGAAAATTGTCTGTGCAGGTCCACGTCTTCGTATAGCCCCCACATTAGGGTACCTTCCGATATTCGGTATTTTGTTGATTTTAGCGACATTATTCACCGGAATTGTTTCAAATTTGGTATTTGAAGTTCGTAATACATACTACAGCCTAAAACAGAAAATTGTCTGCGCAGGTCCACGTCTTCGTATAGACACCATATTACGGTACCTCCCGATATTCGGTATTTTGATGATTTTATCGACATTATTCAACGGAACTGTTGGTATTTTAAGTTCGTAAAAAAATTGTAGGTGTAGGTCCACGTTTTGGTATAGCCCCCCATATAACGGTACCTCCCGATATTCGGTATTTTGATGATTTTAGTGACATTATTCATCGGAATTGTTTCAAATTACGTGTATAGAAATAGTAGTGGGAACTACAGTCTGTGACAGAAAATTGTCTATGCTGGTCCAGGTCTTCGCTGCCTCATATATCAGTACCTCCCGATATTCGGTATTTTGATAATTTTAGCGACATTATTCACCGGAATCGTTTCAAATTTTGTATTGGAAGATCTTAATGGGTACTACAGCCTATGACAGAAAATTGTCTGTGCAGGCCCCCCCCATGTAATTGGACGTCCCTATATACGGAATTTTGAAAATTTTCAATGGAATTGTCTGAAATTCCATACAAGGAGTTTCTTGTGAGTACTTTATCCCCTGGAAGAGAATTATCTATACAGGTCCACGATATCGTGTAGCCTCCATATAACGGTACCCTGCGATGTTCAGTTTTTTGATGATATTAGACACATTTTTTAATGGAATTGTCTGAAATTTTTCACAAGGAGTTATTTGTGAGTACTTTACCACGGGTCCACAATATCGTATATCCCCCATATATCGGCACCTTCCGATATTCGGAATTTTTAAGATTTTAACAGAATTTTTAATGGATTTAATTTTTTGGAGAAGCGCCAAATTCGTTCCAAATGGTGGAAAGTATTCAAAGTTCGGCCCGGACGAACTTACAGCTTTTTTAATTGTTTTATTTATATTTTTTGTGGGAATCGTTTTTTGTTCGTCAACATTTTTTTTTTTTTTGGTTGCTTTTTTGCTGTCATTTTTTTTTTTTTTTTTTTGTTTCCTAGAATCCTTTTTTCGTTTTTTTTTTTTCTATTTTTTCTTTTTTATTTTTACCTTTTTATGTAAGTTTTAGCTGAAAATATTTTTGTTTGTCCAGTTTTTCTTTTCTCCGTTCCTTGGCTAATTTTTTTATTTCTATTTCATTTCACCTTTTACGCCTCGCAATGGAATTCGCTTCTTTTTTTTTCTTTTAATTTCATTTTACTCCTTCCTTTCCAAATGGCTTCAATCAATTTCTTTGAAACTTCCAGTTGCTTGCAAAGGAACACCCCTAAAATTAAGTACAAGTACAAAAACCAATTACCCGCAATTCACAAATTACCAACAACATTAGAAATACCTTTCACTTGACAGTGTAAATTAAATATCTATTCAAAACTGAAAGTAGAAAAAAATGTTCGATGATAAATTTAAATGTATGGTTTAAAAGAAATGTTTTACTTACCTCCCAAGGTTGTCAATGATGGCTGTTTGTCTAGTTAATCTTCACGCATACATACCCATCAAGATGTTGAGAATTACTTTACCATTAAATTATGTTTGTGAATTAAACACAAGCCAATTGGGGTCAGGGCCATGGCTAGGCATTGCTGCTGCTTAGAGAGGGTAATACTAATTGTTGTTTGTTTTTTTTTTTTGCATTTGCTTCTTCTTTTTTGTTGATCAAGAATGAATTTTATAGATTGAAGTTCAGTTTTGTTAAGGCATAATTGTGTCTTAATTGTTATATTGTACATTAAATGCTTTATCTTTGTTTTATTTCTTTTACTTAAACATATAAATTGTTATAAATATACACAATACATATGAATTAGTTTTTTCTTTTTTTTTCATTTGTTTGTTATTAATATATATATTGTTATGTATAAATTGTAATATTATTGTTTTTTTCTTTTTTCATGGGGGAGTTTTGTTATGTCATTTTTTTCCGAGATTTACAATATTACATTTTTTACAAATTGTATTAAATTCTGGTTTTATTTTCATATATAAATATTATCGATTAGTTATTGTTATTATTTTGTAGTATTTTGTTTAAATATTTCACAAATATTTAAATTTTAAGTAGATAAATGGAATTTTTGTTTTTGTTTCGAAAAAAAAACCTAGCTTAACAAATTAAAATACAATTATTTTAAAATGAAAATAAAAAAAAAACATTTGATTTTCCCTTTTTGTGTGTGTGTGTGTTTGATTTAATTTGAGTTTTGTTTGTTGTTTTTTTTTCAAATTTATACGTACAACACTATAACGTATAATTGTAACGAGTATAAAAGCATAGTTTGTTTAACTTCGTAATTTGTTATTATCTCATGTTATCACAACATTGCTTACAAAACAAAAATCAACAGGAATAAACAAGGCAGGAAAATTCAACTTTCGAACAACAAACACAAACATGACAATTAAGGCTGCTTACTTTTTAAAAATTGTTTTAAGGAACCAAAACTAAACATTTAATACCTAGATATAAATTAATTGTAAATGCCATTAAAGGGTGAGTGAGTGTGTGTTGGGTATAGCTTTGTGGGGAGGGGTTTCCATTAAATATTATTATTTATAAATATAAAGGTCATAGGAAATATATGTATATATAGAGGCTGGATTTTGGAGTTTTGTTTTGTAAAAATTTCCTGGTTTCTCATTTTGTCTTTATCAAAATTTTATACTTCTTCTTGAGCTTGTGTTTGTGTCGAATACGTGTTTTCGGTTTGTAAATATTTTTCTTTTTTTTCTTTCTAAATATTGCTTTTTCAACCATTTTAATACTAGCGGCATCTTGCTAAATTATTGTTCTCTCCCTCCCGTGGAGGCGCTGCGAATAGAAATTTTGGTCCTGTAACAAATGGCTGGAAACTTAGCTTTTTTATTTATATGTCATTAACTAGGTGGCCTTCTATTAAAGATGATTGATGATATCTTCGCCTTTGGGAAAAGTCTTCATTGTCCTCATTCATTTGGGTGGGTGATAGGTCTACACCGGGGCAGGAGGGTGTAACCACAATTTGTTCATATTCATGCATTCGTTTTCTTAAAAAAAATAAAAAAGAAATATATTAAATTTGTTTACAACAATTATTAATATGCCTCATTTACCCAAAGCATCTGAATATGACACTTTTCAGCCAGGCAAAGAAATTGAATTCGGCGGTGAGGCCAGGTTTTACGGCCGGATTGGCTGTGCCCACATAAAACCAAACCACAAATACCACCAGGAAACAGGTCAAGGCATAATACCAATTAACCAACAACATTACCAATAACTTGGTGAAGGCCTGCAAAAACAAGAAAACAAATAAAATTCAAATAAATAAAATCCATTTCCCCTAAAGAAAATACTTGAAGAATTCTTCTGCAATGCTAAGAGAGAAGAACGCCTCCAAGTGTTCAATAGAAGAAAAGGAAACATCACTTACTCCCAACAACGAAGCCCAACGATTACAATAACCCGAATACCAATTTTTGGTTTTCGAATGAATGGGTGGTCTAATGGGCGCAATTGGCTCCTCATCCTCATTATCCTGGGTGGTAACCGCCTCCAGATTACCATCAGCCGAATTTGTACTATTTACAGCCTCTTGGAAAACAGGTGTCGACGCCGATGTTGAGGCCCCAATCTCACTATTGTTTAAATTTCCATTTTGTTGTTGCAATTCTAAGCTATTACTAGCATTTACGCCATTATTCGTCGTTGTTGAAGGCACATGTAAAGGTGAATTTTGTGGACTTTGTAAGTTCTTGTGGCGTACACGATCGGGAAACAGTAAATCTAAATCATTATCATCCTGGGTGGCACCATAACGTCTCGTCTCATAGGACGGCGATGAGGCCTGTATGCGAAAACGTTCTTCTCGTTGTTCTTGTATATCAAAGGTTTGGGCCAAAGCAAAATAGGAGTAATCAATGCAGGCATAGGTTAACAAAAATGGCATTGTCACAATGGGAGCCAAGAAATTGATGTCACCCACAATAATAAATGTCACCGTGACCACGGCCACCACTGCCATGGCATAGAGGGGGACTTTGTTGGGGCCACGCTGGAAAGAAAATCAAATTTATTAAAATATTTGAATTTTTATATTTCAAAAACTCACCCCCTTTGCCAAAATATCAATGCCGGGGATAACGCTTTCCTTGGCAATGGATTGCAGGACTCGTGGTGTACCATACATGGCACCCAAACACGATGACATACTGGATACATAAATACCGGCCAATAAAAGAAATTGAACGGCTGAAACTTTTACAGATATCATGAAATCTGTCAGCAGAGTGGCTCTTTGGCATGTGGCCCCAAGGAATAAAATGAAGACGGTGTAGAGGAAAGTCCTGTAAGAAAGGGAAAAATGTTAAAAACTAATTTTAAAATTACTCTCTAGGTGTTTGGGGGATATATTTTTAAGGATTATCGAAGTATTTGTTTATCCTATCTGAGCTACATGAAATTAAACAATTTTCCCATTGAATAAATTGTTGATAATCAGACTTACGAAGTTCCAAAGGCCGCCAGTGTACCATTGGGTATATCGGTTGAGGGTGCCCTCAAATCACCACTCATATTGATGCCCGACAACACACCCGTAACTGTGGGAAAGAATACACCAAACACTCTAAACCACGAATAGCCGTCCTCATATTTCGGCCAAAGATTTTCCACAAAATTACTGCTAACCCAGCCATCAAAGCCGTTTTCTGCAGGAAATTAAGTTATTAAAGAAATATGTTCAATTGATTACAATACTCACGTGGATCTTCGCCAATGAAACTGCCCACCATAAAGTCCAGAGCCGATATCAGCAGGATCATCAGCAGAATAAACTGTAATTTGATGACCCATTTTACACCGGCCACATTAATGCAACCCAAGAGTATAACAGCAGCCGCCGCAAAGCCACGTATGGCCCATTTGTTACCTTCTAGGCCCACCAAGCCGGCCATGGATTCACCAAAACCCATGACATTGAGGGCACAACCCACAGCCTGACCAAAACAATAGAGTAAACCCAAAGAGCCACCAAAACGTGACCCCAACGTATGGGCTATAAGGAAATATACACCACCACTTTCCACACGACATCTTTCACAAATACCCACTGCGGAGAGTACCGATACCAAGGCAATCACCACGGTACAAAATATGATCAACAGGGCATTGAGTATGCCTGCCTGGGCCACAATCCAACCGGAACGCAGGAAAACAATAACACCAAAGACATTGATCAGGCATGAGGTGAACACACCATCCCAGGTACCAAATAAAACCGGTTGAGATATAAAGAAATTGGAACGCCACCTGGAAAACCACAGAGATGTTTAAGAACAAATATTAAGGATGTCTGACATTGGAAAAACCTTACCATGGTTTGTCTCCCTGCACCTGGGCGAATATCTCATTGGCCCCAGAGGCCTGATGGCCACCCGAAGCATATGTGTGTTCATTGCCCAGATCCACAAAGCCTCCCGTATTGGCAGCCCTTTGCCGAAAATTGGCCACCACCACTTCACCATCATCGTCCGGACTTAAGCCGAAACGATTCCAATCCACTTGTTGGGATCGACGATTACCATTGCTTGCGGAGTTATTACTCATCTCCCTTTACTGCTGTCGTTGTTATTGTTTTCTGTTGTCTTTTGTCGTTGTTTTCACTTCGAATTATGACACCTTATCCAAAAAACCAAAATCAAATGATTAACTTGATATTTCTTCACTTTCGTCTTCTCCCATCCACGTCTCTTATGTTATTGTTGTTGGTGTGTCGTGTTGCTCCAATTTTTTTTTCGAATGCTCTTTCTAATGCATATTGAAGTTTTTATTTGATGTAAATTGTTATTGTTTGGTTAATAAACTTCCGTAGCTTGCACTGCAGCTGAGTGTTGTTATTTTTTATTCGTTTATTTGTTTAATAAAATAAAAAACTTTATTTTTTGGCTGCAATAACTCTGTTCATGTATGATATCTGTCTATTGTGTGAGAGAATAAACAATGGCTCAGTTAGTGGCGACGTAACGTAATGATAACAGCTGGCAACACACTTTCTACGTCGGTGGGAAATAATTTTATTATTTAAGTGAAGAGTGAGATAGAAAGGCTTAAAAAGAGAGAAAACACAGTTATTTTGTTAAATTTCGTATATCGAGGTGTTTTATTTTCCTTCCCATTTCATACGCATAGTTGACATAAAAGTGGTGTTTACGTTACGTTTTGTACGACACGTCAAACACTAACTTCTCTGTATGGCGGTAACCTAGAAACTGAAGTGACAGTCGCTCTTCAACTTTTGTTGACATTAGACTAATCTCTCGCGCTGGTCGCTTACCTTTCATTTTTTAACGTCAACAACAACAAACCAAAACCTGCAAACACACACACACTTACAAATTGTTTTTCTCGGTCTTCTTTTTTAATTTAAAACAAGTGTTTCACACCATATTTAAATTAAAAATATAATTTAAATGAATTTAAAATGGGGGGAGTAGGGGAACCTCCTCCTCCGCCACCTCCTCCACCGGGGGAGCAAAACAAAAGAAAAGCCAGCAGTATTGCTAAAGAAACAAAAGCCTTTAAAAACAATTATGGATCCCCAGTTAAGACTGTTAACACTAATGCAAACGCACAACTACTTACTAGCATTGAAAATGAAGATGAATACAACTACAATTCTCTAAACAAAGAATCCATTTTGTATCCCACGTATCATCCTGGCCCTTTTTTTGTTCTAGTTTCTTCAGAAACTCCAATAAGCACAAGGAGGAAAAATTGCGAATTGCACCTTTATGCCAAATTCCAAAAAATTAATATTACGGATTATGCCTGCAAAAACATTGGTTATAACACATTTAGAATAACCTTTAATAATGCTAACTCAGCGAACAATTTTGCGCAAAATAAGAACCTAAAGCAAATAGGCCTAAAAGCATTCATTCCTGAAAGATTTGTTCAGCGCTTTTATATCATTAAAAACGTACCAAAAAGTATCTCAGCCATTACTATTAAGCAACAAATAGAAGCTAATAACGATATGGATGTTGTCTCAGTTTATCGTTTCACAAGAAAAAATGAAAATAATATTCTTGAATATACTGAAACTATCAAAATTGGTATCATATACGATGGTGTACCTACTGAAATATTCATGTGTGGAACCAAAATAACCCCGGAACTGTATGTGCCACTAGTACGTCTCTGCTTGAACTGTGGACGTCTAGGACACATTGCTATTCGTTGCAGGTCAATGAAAAAATGTTTAAATTGCGGTAAAACTATGATATGTCCCAACAACTGTCCAAAGGAACAAAAATGTCAAGATTGTCGCTCAAGTACTACATGCAAAGATATATGCAGCTCCCCGCGTTGCATCCTATGCAGCAGTATTGATCATCTCGCTACAGATTCCAATAAATGCCCAAAATGGAAATCCGAAAAAAATATAAGGAGTATCATGGCCCTCTCCAATCTGTCAAGAAAGGAAGTTGTTCAGAAGTACCCTGAAACACAAAATCGATTCCAAATTCTTTCAGAAGAAAAATATAATAATGCATTCCCCCCTCTAATAAAAAACAGTGCACCAAAAAGAAGTGTTTATGAGGAAATAAACAAAAGAGTTACAAAAACAAAATATAGCCAAGTTGCTTCACCCAGAATCCAAATACGTCACGCCATTGCCGATCCAATCCAAATATCGCCTTCCAAGCCCACCTTCAGCCAAGATAATTTCTCTAAAGTTACAGAATTAGAAAAAACTCTTAATCTTTTTGCAAAAGAAATGTCAAAGATACTCACATCTCTTAATAGCACAGAAGGCTTAAATGTACTAAAAAGTTTCCAGCAGTCACTGCTCCCATTTGCAACAAGCAGCTTATTAACAGGAACCAAAATCACAGTCCCCACAGACGACTCACATCCTGCAATTTTTAATAAATAAATAAATTAATATGAATCTACTACAATACAACGTACAAAGTTTAACAAAAAACAAAAACTTCCTTGAATTTCACCTAAAAAAGCTCAATATAGACATATGTTTTTTAAGTGAAATATTTAATATCGATGAAAACAAAAATTTATCAACTTTTCAAGATTATAAAATAATGTCAAAAAAAAGAAGTGATAACTACGGCGGAGTAGCTATACTCTTTAAAAACAATATCCAATATAAAAAGATTCCTTTTGAAACTCCTCTCGACATACTAATTTGTCAAACTACCAACCTAACAAACAATTTAACATTAGTGTCTGTATACTTTCCACACTCTGTCAAATGTGCTACAATTAAAAACGAACTAGTGAAATTAATATCCTTGGTAGAAAATCGCCCAAATACTCTCATATGCGGAGACTTTAATGCCAGACATTCTGCTTATGGAGATATATATGTCTCACAACGTGGAAAGACTATAAAAGAAATCTTTGACGCTACGAATTTTCGATGCTTAAACGATGGAGGATATACGTTTAAAAAAAATATTACGGATTTGAACGGTTCTGTTTTGGATCTTTCATTTTCCAATTCCAACCTTCAAATACAATGGAAAATCTTCAATGCTATAATTGGAGGAAGCCATCACTTCCCGATAACACTAACTTTCAACACTATCAAAAATAAAGGGCAAAAATTTTTAGCAAAAAAACAATTGTTACGAAACCTGGGGAAACTGTCTCTTAATGACAACTTCGATGAAATTCAATCCAAAATAACAGCGGAAATTAAGAATTCTACCTACACTTTAAAGGAAAACCAAAAAACACCAAAAATCTGGTGGGACCCATATGTAGAGAAACAATATCGTCTGCAATTAGCAGCTCAAAAAACTTACGATCTGCATAATAATGACATCAATGCTAGAAATTTAATAAAAGCGATCAAAAATTTTAAAAACGCCGTGCAATATGCCAAAAAACATTCCTTTAAGGAAAAAATACAAAATTTAAACAAAGAACCCAGTTCTAAATCACTTTTTCAGTTTGTTCGTGGCTGCAAAAATTTTCTATCATCTCAAAGCAAAAGCAAATGGTCTTCCGACAACAACAAGCGGTTTTTATCTCACCTCAGAGAACAAGTCTCTGACAATCTTCCAATTAAATTTACTGTATCTTCCGAAACAAATCGTACAGATCTAATAATCGATGAATTTCTCCTAGTCCTCAAAAATAAAAAGAAGCCGTCCGCTGCTGGTTTGGACGGTATTTCTTATAATATGATAAATCATTTATCAGACTCTGCGAAAGCCTCCTTTTTTAAAGCAATAAACCAGTTATGGAAAGCATGTAAAATAAGAGAAGACTGGAGAAAAATCAAAATTGTACCAATACCAAAGAAAGGAAAAAATCTGGATGTTTTTACTAACTATAGACCAATAGCTCTCATCTCAGTTCCTCTAAAAATAATTAATCTGATAATTAAAGAACGTTTGCAAAAATTTATTGATGATAATAATATACTGCCCCACACAACTTATGCATATAGAAAACACATGTCCTCGTCTATGTGTATCAACAACATTCTGCACACTATTAATTATCACAAAAATATGGGTGAAAAAGTAATTATTCTTTCTTTGGATGTTGAAAAAGCCTATGACTGCGTCAAAATAGAAATACTTCACAAAATTCTGCAGGAGATCGAATGCTCACCCGAAGTTACAGATTGGATAATCAACTTTCTAAGTCGTCGAATACTCGTAATGGGAGATGATTCACTCGAAATATACAATGGACTACCCCAAGGCAGTTGTTTAAGTCCTTTTCTCTTCAACATATACACTTTGGGCTTACACGGAATTTCCAACATCAACACTTATCTTTTTCAATTTGCGGATGACTTTATTTTGTTATCTGCTCACAAAGACTTTGATTCGGCAAATTTAAATCTACAACAAAAAGCCATCGAGTTTCACAACTTACTCTCACGACTTAATCTAAAATACAATGCTGAGAAAACTGCCGTCATGTACGTAGCCAAAGGCCCAAAAAAAGTTCCATACATCAGACTACAAGGCACACAAATCACTCCAGTTAACAGCATAAAATTTCTGGGAAGGCACATTAAAAACAGCTTATCTCTGAAAGAGCATTATGACGAAGTCATTTCCTCCTGTACAACGTCAATTAACGCACTAAAAATGATCAACAACAACAAACACGGCATGCTCCCCAATATCTCAATCAATCTAGCAAAATCACTAGTTTTCTCTAAAACTGAATATTGCATTTCATCAATGGCCCATATGCCTGTATATTTAAATAAGAAACTCACCACCTTTCAAAATCAATTATTAAGAAGGAATCTTGGCCTAACACCATCTACTCCTACACACACAATTTATGCTTTAGCACTAATGTTGCCACCCGAGCAACGAAGTCAATACTTAACTGCAAAAGAATTAATAAAATTTAAATGTCACAATCTACAACTGTACAACAGTATATCCAGAAACTCCTCAAACAAAACGAGCCTGGGACTAATTTACACCAAGTTTAAACATATTTTTGATGAAATTGTGGTCAACAAAGCCGAATACCCCAGGAAAAATATAACCTTTTTTATGAATTTATTCAATTCCTCCAAAAATGCACAACCCAATGAATACTTTAGAGCAATGTTGCAAGAAAAACTTCAAAATCTAATAAACACAGGTCACTCTATTTGGGCAACAGACGCTTCTGTTTCTATAAATGAGACCGGATGTGCAGTGTGCAATATCACCAAGGACCAAAATTTTCTATTTAAAATATCAAGAAAAATGTCATCCCTGATGGGTGAATTACATGCAATTAACAAAGCGATTGATATAATGATCGAAGACAAAGTCAATAAGGCAACCATACTAACTGACAGCAAGAATGCGTGTCAAATTCTCAAAAACAATTCGGTACAAAACTACCTAGCCAACGATATCATCAAAAAGGTCAACAATAGTAAAATATCTCTACTCACCTTTATTTGGACTCCCTCGCATATTGGTATTCCTGCTAATGAACGGGCAGACTCCTTTGCAAAATGCGCAGCCCAAGTCGGGGCACCCATAACCACTAAGCTGGCCATAAAGGATGGCTATTCATTAGTCTTTCAACACCTATGGAGAGAATGGAACGAAAATTACAAAAATATCATAACGACAAAAGGCACATACTTCTCCCAATTTTTTCCTGAACCGCCAACTCGTCACTGGTTTGCCGGCACCAACCTCACTCCTGGTAACATAAAACTCATTAATCGTCTTTTCACAGGCCATACCTATGGCAAAAATTACCTGTTTTTGATAAAAGCTGAAAATTCCAACATATGCGAAATCTGCAACATGCCAAACACCGACAATCATCAAATCTTTGTATGTCCTAAATACAACAGTGAGCGGTTAAACTACAATTTTTTCAAAATTTTCTCGGACTTACCTGCGATTCTCAAAACCTTCTCCAGCGAACACTTTAATGAATTGTGCAAATTCATTAAGAAAAACAACATACAGCTATAATACGCACAAACCACTAGAAGAAAATAACAATAAAAGGAACTAACAATCGATATCCGATAACTTAGCAACTGGTACATGAATACTTCGGGTATCGGGTACCAACTACCTCTTGACGAAGAAATCAGCTATCGAGTCCAAAAAAAAAAAAAAAAAAAAAAAACTGAAGTGATGTCATTTGTTATTGCAGGGGCATATGTTGGGTGAAATTTAATACTTGCGGTTAACAAAAAGATTCAAAATTTAAAAATATATTGATAAATTATATAACAAGGCATTATTTTTCAATGAAAAGTTACTTTATTTTATTTTTGTTCACAAGCATTGAAGCATTTGGAAAATACACAAAAGAGAGAGAGAGAAGAAACCTTAAATTTCTTGTCATTTGTTTTAATACAAAGTTAATTAGTTTAGGTATTTTTTGTATATATAGAAAAAGCGCATATCGAATCAGCAAAATAATAAAAAAGGATCAGTAATAGTTATATATTTTTATTAGGATTGGGGTCTCTTCTTAACTAGCATTCAAGGAGGGTGTTGGTGGTGTGCCAAGTATAAGGAAATTATTTATGCAGTTTCTCTCGATAATGTTTTTCTTTCTGTTCTCATCATAAATACAGTCATTTTACATTTAATTATATATTTTTTCTTTAATTTAGCATGATAAAGTAAGTTTTGTTAAGTAGTGTTTCGTTTTTTGTTTATGGACATCAAGTTATCGTTTTTAACCAGTAATTTCTTAATTAGTTTTAGTTTTGAAAAAGAGTTGCTTAGCTTTTTTGTTGTGTTTAACAGGCAAAGAATAACTACTTAAAATTCCTCATTTTGTTTTAGCTTGAATTTTGGGAGTCTTTTTTTATATATATATACCAATTAATTATCTTTAGGAAAATCTTTTTTTATACCAATAAATTATTTTGTTTTTTTTTTTACATTTAAGACCACACATTTGAATTAGAAGTCAGAAAAAATACATGCTCACATTAACTTATAGCTAATTTGTTCTTGTTTTTAACAAAAATGGATAGATTACTTTTCTTCCTTCTCAGTTTTTAAGTGTTGTGTTCAAATAATTTGTAAGCTCATTTAAAACCATTGAACCAATGACCATTTTCTCACAGTTCACTTGAATTAACAATTCATCGTTATTTGACCAATCACACGACAACAAGACCAAACTTTTGGAAGTCATTGTTTGACCCACAAAATAGTGCAGGGGATTTTCTGTAGACTGTGCCAAATAGGCCACATTTACACACTCAAATATTTTCTGTTTCAATGTGGCCAGTTTTATAATTTCATTGTTTAACTTCAACTTTATTTGATGTTCATTCATGCCACGTAATTTAAGGCGTTCCTCCTTGAACATGGTCTCGCTGATCTGTACAGATCTTATTAGTTCACCAATCAGGGGTTTGAGAGCCACACGTGAGGTGCCCTTATCCGAAGTGATTTCGAAATCAATAGCATGTGTGGAATCGTTGAAATCTACTCCTAAAATACTGGTGGCACACTGTCCAGGTTGTAGCAGATTCACTGGGGCAAATTCTTGCATTTGCATGCCAGGTGGCAGAGATTTTTGTCCCATTTGTATATTTGAAATTTCCTCAGCGGATTGATTGACAAATTGCAATTCAATCGAGACCATTGAAGAGGAATAGAGATGTGGTGAACGGGTATAACGATAGCTAACCTGTAGGCCATGGCCAGATAATTTGTTCAGCAATTCCTTGTGGTTGTAGGATATATAGGAGGGTCCTACAAGCTCCAAACGATTGGCAGCATTTTGGGGCATCAACGTAGCAGCCATTGGGGTGCCTGGCGAAAATATTAAATAAAATAGTTAAAAATATCTCATAAAACATGTCATTCCTTACCTGGTGTCAAAAATCCACCCAAGGATGGTGTCATCACTGGCCCAATGGGCGGTATATCATCCAAATCGAGTAATAAATCCAAATTACTTTTGGCCTCCGACTTCTTGGCGCCTGTTGCAGCAGCTGCTTGATGATTTGTCTTTTTGTTATTGTTGTTCTTGGCAACGGAATGTTGTCCAGAGTCCGTTTCAGACTCCGAGGCGGAACCCTCACTTTCACTAGCCGATTCAGATGATGAAGCAGAGGAAGAAGATGAAGAGCCATACGATGATGAAGATTCCGAATCGGAAGTACCCGAACCATTGGCATTGTTGGCAGCTGGTATACGATTTTGTTTAGTTGCATTGTTGTTCAAAGCATTTACTTGTGCTTGCTTTGTGTTCGAGGAGCTAACAACAGCAGCTGCTGCAGCCTTTTGTTGTTTATTGGCATTTTCATTTTCGTCGGACTCCGAGTCAGAACCGGACGAGGAGCTACCCTCCGACGAAGATGATGAAGATGACGAGCCACTTGAATTGTTGGAATATTCCGAAGACTTTCCTTCCGATTCGGAATAGAATGTAGAGTTTTTAGTTTTTTGCTTGCCATTGTTGTTGTCTTTCAGGGGTGTACGCTCCTGCTGATTGTTATTGGCGAATTTCGGTTCATGCATAAAACCTTCTACATTGCGCACAGAGGGATCCGAACCTTGTTCGGGGAAACTGGGCAAATCATTGTAACCACTGCAGCGCATATTCAAATAATGCGACAATGATCCGAGCTGATAGTTATTGCGCGTGTGATATTTACTCTCCAACGTTGGGGCCGGCTTGGCAGACAAAAATATCTTTTTGGCCGCCTCTGACAGGACACCACTTTTACTGTTCACCGGGAATATGAATTGTTTCAAATAACGTGCCCGATCACGTATATCATAGTTAACATCATAACGTGCCAGGGTGAAGACATACTGACACAGCAGTGAGGTCTGTTGGGGATTGGTGAGATACAACTTTACGGCCATGTTCAGGACCTGTAACTTCACGGAATCCTCCTCATCGACAAAGCTCTTGGCCAGCTTACGTAGGACATCTGGTGCTATTTTGGGCACTTTTTCGTTGTATTCCCCAATTAGCCATAGAATTGAGGAACGGGCTGCTGGTACCTTAATGAAATCCAATAGCTTTGCCATTTGGGAAATAATTTCATAGTGTTGAGCCGCCTTAGTTTGCAACAGATTCTTGATGACAATAACACTTTCGGCCACCACATGTTCATCACGATTCGACAGCAAATGGACGAGACCACTGAGGCAAGTCTCCGTTACCTCTTTAATGGAAGCTGCACATCGTCCAATGGCCTGAATTGTTGAGGCCACAAAGGAGCGATCACTACTGGAAATATAGGTTTGGAATTCGCGCAGTATCAACGATATGCTGGCAGCCGAGGCCAGATTTGTGAGGATTTCCAATTTCAGCAACTTAATGTGGGTAGGATCACTTGTGCGCACAAAAAACGATTTTATGTGGGGCTCAAAAATGGCCTTTCTCTTTGTCGACATTGAGGCAATGCAGGTTAGGACCACACTTTGTACCTCTTTGTGGGAACGCAGCAAACGTATCAGAGATTTGGCCACAATTTGTACCTCCTGACGGGGAGCCACATGATGATATAGCTGGGCCACAGCCATTACCACCGAGGCATTGCGGGATTGCAGCAAAGGTTTTGTTTGCCTCAGCAACAAGCGATGGTCCAAATCCACATGGTAACTGGATGAGGGAGAAGAGTTAGGAGATTTTAATTTGGTTTTGGATGTCTGCTGTTTTGAGGACTTTTTGGCATCCTCGCCGCCATCACTATCATCGTTGGTTTCCGTTTCAGAATCATCATCATAGAATTTCTTGTTGGATTCTTGTGCGTTATCTTCGTCGGAGGCTTCATCGGCATTGGGATCCACAAACTGGGTGCGGGCATAGCGTGTCAACATGTTAATGATAATCACCTGGCCCCATTCATCCACATCGACCAGGAGATTGCACAGTTTGCGATAGTTCTTGTGGATCAGGTCGACGCGTTCAGGACAAACCTGCAATAAGGAAGACATTTAATATGTATGGAAAGGAGAATAAGTAAATGAACTTACCTCTTCAAAAGCCATTACTGCCGAGCCCACAACCAAAGTTGTGCGATCCGATAGCAATTTTTCAATCACTGTAACCAGTTCATCTTTCTGCTCTGGATCAACGGAAAACAATTTCGGTATTGCATGGGCGGCCGTCTTACGAACATAGGGACTCATATCACTGGCACTATCTCGGATGGCCAACATAACAATGGGCACAATCATTGTCACCCGTATGGAGGAGAGAACCCTCAAGGCCGAGGCTCTTATCAACTGATTGGGATCCTTTAGAGCCCTTTGAAAGGTACTTATCGAAAGCAAGGCCAAATCTTGTTGGTCCTCACAATACCTCACCAAATAGACATACACCAACTTCTTCACCTCAATATTTTTCGAAACTACATTTTTCACAACAGCCGGAAATAGATCACTTGCATCTCGCCCCCGGGCAATCATGCCGATTATGCGTTTCATGGCCTCCAATTTCAGGCCATCTTTGTTGCTATCCAACATTTGCTTCAAGTCGTCATGCTTACGCCCATCATATTTAAATATGGAACCACTGGCTGGATCTGTGCCATATTCAATGTCCAAGCCTGTCTGGACACCGCCCCTGTGCTCGCCATAGGCTGCAAAGGCATTGGACTGTTGTTGCATTGTACCGCTACTACTACTCCCCGCAAAAGTTATTGGAGAACTTGATGATAGCATACAGGTGCAGGTTGCTGTGAATGCGAGAGTGAGAAAAAAATTCCCCCATGGGGTGGGGGGAGATGTCAATCAAAAATCATGAAAAAATTCACTGATAAAGAAAGCAATTTTTCCCAAGTTTTTTTCTCTGTTTTCCGTTTCCCGTTTTCACTCACCAATAAATGCAACAACATATATTTTTAAAGAAAAATACTATAAATTACAACAACAACTTGCAACTATTAACTATTTGTTTATTAATAAAGGAATTTTTGCAATATTTGACGGCCAATTTTTTGGTGACGTATGACGTATGTAACGATAGGTAACTCAACTTTCGATTAATCGATTACATTGTGAATGTCGTAGTCGACTATGGACTGTGGTGAAAATCGATAAACTAACTACTTATTGTCGATTTTGGCATTCATTGGTTTTTGGTAGATCAAAACAAATCCATGCAAACTTTTTATAAATTGTTGAATAGACACATTTTATAAAATTATAAAATATTTCAAAATTTAAAGTTATTTTTGCAAAACATTTTTGATATATCAATGTTTACAAATGCTGATGCATCTCCCTGTATTCTTTTATCATGTTCTTTTTATCACTCTCACATCCCTGGTTTTTGCATGTGCTAATCAATAACAAAACATAACGTTACGTTACGTCGGCACAAAACCCAGACACAATAGACTGTTTAAACAGGGTGCTTCGTATGGACAAGGGAAAAAAGTAAGCATATATTGTATTTAATTAAAGAAATAAACAGTTAAAAAAGCTTTTTATTTTGTGAAGAGTAAAATTTGGCCACATAAGAAAGATATGGGGCAAAAAGATCTGAGAGACATGTAAAACTAATATGGTATATAAGGTTTTTTTTTTAATAAAAACAAATGTTTTGTTATATGTTTATACCCTCCACCATAGTAAGGAGGTTTTTTGTCATTCCGTTTGTAACATCTCGAAATATAAATTTTAGACCCCACAAATTATATATATTCTCGATCAGCATAAAATTCTATGTCGATTTAGCTATGTCTGTCCGTCTGTTAAAATTACTCGTTTCCAAACGAAATGAAGACGTTTGATAACATTTTACTCAAATGTATATTATATCTGCAGGACTTTTGCTATTGACAAATTGTCCGTGCAGGTCCACGCCTTCGTATAGCCCCCATATAACGGCACCTCCCGATATTCGTTATTTTGATGATTTTATCGACATTATTCACCGGAATTGTTTCAAATTTGGTATTTGAAGTTCGTAATGGCCAATGACAGAAAATTGTCTGTGCAGATCCACGTTTTGGCATAGCTCCATATAATGGTACCTTAATTCCAGGCGATGGATGCACGACCGAATTTAATAGCACGTTTCAAATAAATCTTCATAAAAGAAGTTAACCCGACAAAAAGCTCTAATGTAAACATGCGTTTTACCTGTTTATTCTATTAAATTTTATTCTTTCATAAAATATTATCCCAAACATAAGAAATTCTATTCCAAAAAAATGCACAAAATTTTTATTTTTTTCCGGGCTTATTCGTCGTGTAGTCCTTCCTTTTGCGCTCTCTTCCTTTTGGCACTCTGTTGTTGCGATAATTCCATTTCTGTTGGCTCCTCCAACACGTTCCCATCAATATGTTGCAATATTTCTCGAATCTTAACCTCCACATCACCGAAATTGTTAACCTGTAACATAGCCATACAATGATGTTGAATTACAGGATTTACCATGCCACGAATTATTTTGGCCATAGAAGCGGCAATGCATGACTGGCTGGCTGCCACTGGTATTTCGGATGACTTTTGGGTACGTTTTGCCATGCTGGTGTCGGGGGATTAGAATTGTTTTCTGTAGATATTAAAATTGTACCGCCAATTTTTTGCATTTGTTTAAAGCGGATGTAATTAGCTGTCAAATAATGATCAGGGTTGCCCGTGGATAAAAAAAACTCATAGTTATATCCCGTTTACACGATGCAATGAAGATAAAGTGTCAGAACTAAAATCCTAGACTCAAAGTTTTACCATTACTGAATAAATTCCCACTGAGAGCGATTAGAAGTCCTCTTAAAATTAAAATACTAAACATTATAGAATACCTTTATTTCATTCACTTTTTATTTCGATTATAGAGCTTTAAATTGTTTTATTATACATTTTATGTATATTGAATTTTCTTTTATCATTTATAAATATGTTGGTTTCTTTTTGTATATAATAAAGGAATAAAAATTATATTAATAATATTGTAATAAATACGCATTGTGTTTTGTGTGTGTAGGTGTAAATTGGGTATGTGAATTCTTTTTCTTCGTTTAACTTCAAAACTTAAAAATTAATCTATTTAATAATAATCATAATAATAATAAAAACATTAACAAATTATTATATTATTTGCATTATTTAAAAAATAGAAAAAAAAAACGATGATAATAGGTGCCTGTTCCAAGCTTGTATTTTTTTATAGTATATATATATTTTTTTAAGGAAGAAACTAAAACACATATTTCTTGGGGTTTTTGTATTCTATGCTTTTCTTTTTGTATAAAAATATATTGTTTTTGGAAACATTTTGTTTTTGCACTCCAAAAACCCTTTTTTGAGGAATAAAAAACCTAATTTTAAGAAAAATCTTGAATATATTAGTATAAAATGTTGTTATTGTTTAATACTTGAAATCGCATTCCGACCTAATTTGGAGGGGGGAAAGTTAGGCATTTGATATTTGATTTTTTTTTTCACCTAGCCACGTTTGTTTTTTCAATATAGCGGCTGGTTATCCATTTTTGTTCAAAACGACGCTGAAGCTTTTTTTAAATTAGTATTAGTTCGTTTTTTTTGTATCATATAGATTATTTTCAATAAATTTTGGCTTATGACATATGAATATGCATGTTGCAATTTAGGGTTTAGCAATAGTCGGTATAATTGTTATACCAATTGATTTTTTTTATATAACAAGTAACCAGGTAACATTAGATCTGCAATGGAAAAAAGATAGAGATAAATAAAAAATCGATAAAAAAATATAATAGATAAACATGGGCAGATAAAATAAATGGTTAAAATGATTTTAAACAAGTAAAAAAGCAGCTAAGTTCGGCCGGGTCGAACTTTTAGTACCCTACACCATTTCGAAGGAATTTGAAAATTTTCAAAAAATTCCGAAAACTAACACTTAAATGAAAACCGTTATATGGGGGTTATACGAAGACCTCCATAAAAAAATTTTGTCATAGACTGTAGCAGTACGAAATTTGAAACGATTCCGGTGAATAAAGTTGTTGAAATCATCAAAATTCCGAATATCGGGAGGTACCGTTATATGGGGGCTATACGAAGACATGGACCAGCATACAAAAACTTTTGTTATAGGCTGTGGTACCCATTACGAACTTCAAATACGAAATTTGAAACAGTTCCAGTGAATAACGAAGCTAAAATCATGAAAATACCGAATATCGGGAGGTACCGTTACATGGGGGCTATACGAAATTAACCTGCCTACTGGTAAACTATGCATGTATGCAAAATGCCCAAGTGAAATTTCAATCATTTATTCATATTTATTGTTTACTTTTCATCTAATAACGAAATCGGAGTGATTTTGAGAAATAAATTTGATGTGTGGCTAGGCCATCTTAACAAATCGTAATAGTCCTGTGTTTACATATTATTTGTTTCTCTCTTTTGCCAAGAGTTGCTTACAGGGAATGTCATGAAACCGTTATCTGTGTTATTGCATTAGGTTTTAGGGTTGCCATGCTAAGTGTTAAATAGACAAAGATGCTTTGCATGATTTGCAATTGTTCAACAATGACATTCTTCTTCTTTTTTTTATTTTCACCAGAAAAAAGGCATTGAAAACCCACATTTTCAAACGGATAGAGCTTTGATCACCAATGAACATTTTTGTAAAGAAAAATATTTATCCATGGTTAGAACATATATGATTAACCAATGGAAGTTTTCAATAGAAGACTGGTTCACCTAAGCATGTTTTTTTATAAAAAATAAATCTTAATCAATTTATATTTTTTATTGAAAATGGTTTAGAATATAAAGTTTTCTGTAAAAAGTGATTTTTTAATCTAATTCCATTTTCAGTTAGATATTGGCTAATAAATTTATTTTATATCCCCTCCATAAAACTTTGTATGCATTATCTTGTTTCTAAATACGATAACTACCTACATATATCTTATCTGTAGTTATTCTTCTATATTTAGTGGGGGATGGCATATTTATTGCGCAATGTTAATGCCAATAGACAATTCATACTGAGTTCTTCAAGAAAAACAAAAAAAAAAACGTGTGACAATGTCAGTGTACTCAAATCGAGAAAAAAAAAACGACAACAACAACAACACTTACCTCTTTGCTTGCTAAGGAAAGAAACCCGATTCTGCTCCAAGAACTTTCTCTTCATTCCATTCCATGCTAGGGGCAACCATGTTCCCCTATGGCTAGGCAATTGATAACCTATCCATTATCGATCCCTCCAATAGATATTCATGACTACTGGATAAGATATCATGTAATTGTTGCGTTTCTCCGGTATTTACACTAAATGGAAAGAACGATGAAATTTCGGGTAGGACACTGGAAACACCCTCGGGCGTTAGGGCAGCAACAGCAGCTGAATTAGAGTGGGGCAATGAGATGCGACGACGACGTTCAACACCATCGATAATCTCAGGAGATGGGGGCACGGCAGATGCCTGATGCTGGCCCGGGGCCATTACAGCGCCAGGGGGTTTCTTTTCCTTGGTCAATTCATAGTAGACATCCGGTAGATCATCATATTCTTGAAGATCTAAACATCTTTGTAATTTCGAGACATTGCTGAGGAGAAGACGATGCTGCAGCTCAATTTGGGGAAAACCACCACGCTTTATCTCGACAATGGGCATCCAACGATAATAGCATTGTTCCCATATGGCCATGGCGGACATATGATGATCGGGCTGGAGATAACGGTCTTTGGGTATGGAAGATTGGGCCACAAAGCTATTGGGACTTAGGGTGGAGCGTTGCAGAGCGGCAGCAATTGGTGGTTTGGCCAGACCGGGCAGCATAATTCCTCCCGCTGGTATGGCCACTGATCTCCTGCAGGGTACTTCCGACTTTTGCTTTTGATAGAATGGATTGGTAAAGAACATTTTATCTTTTTCCAAAAACTGCTCCGACCAATCCCAAACTGGCCGCAATATCAATTGATTTTCTTTTACAGCCTTCAGGCGATCCGCATTACAATCGAATTGGAACGTATCAAATATGGGCATGAAACACGCATCCCACAATGTGGTTAAATACGTTTGTGAGAATTCAAATTCATCGGGATATTGCTGCAGCAGCTGCCAAACGCTATCTAAGAACAGAAGAAAAACTGGACTTTCCTCCTGCGGCCCATTTGAGTCTGCCTGCTGGCGAATGTGGCCCAGGCGACGTTGAAAAGGATGCTCCAAGGCCACCCATTCCTTCTGTATCAAAGACTGGAAACCGTCTATGGTGCGATAGAATGGATCCAAAATAATTTGAGTCAATGAAGATACCACACAACACAGATCACGGCCATTGGTTTCCTGCAGAACACAGGTGACACCTTGGCGCAACTTCTCAGCTGCCTCGCAGGAATAACGCAGACACAAGGATACATAAAACAGCCAATTGGATTTTTCAAGCAATACCAAGAATTTAGAGTCTTCCACTGAGAAATGTTGAGGGCTTTCTGGGGCACAAATACGCCGCAGCTTTTCATAGGCCTTGTGAACATCCAAAATGGAGGGCAAGCGGTCGGTTAGTTGCAATAAATGTAACTGTTTTCGATCATTGGCCGATCTGACATTCTCCAACATTACATTTTCCGTTGTGTTGTCCTGTTGACTGTTCTTCAACTCAGCCAGGCGCACCAGCGAAGCATTTCCATAGCCATAAACCCAGAAGACAGCTCTCGAATCACAATAGGCCAGTGTCCAATTCAAGAACATTTCCACAGGACAAGCCTTGGGTATGACGAAATGGGCAGGCAATGTGTAGCGGGAAGAGTGGCGATCATTTTGCAGTAATGGTTCAGAATCCGAGCTTATCACCTGCCAATTTGAGGTGCCACAGCGAATTAGCTCCCGCGCCCAATCATTTTTCGTTGTATACATACTAACCGAGGATTTCGATAGGGTTGAGTAGTAGGGTTCCTGATAGCAATAGGCAAAACTGAGATCATGCCGTGTGGGAAAGGCAAATCGGGCCAGAGCCGAGGCAATGTGTTTGCCCCAATCTTTGCCACCTTTGGAATACTGAAAAGCGAATTTGAGTAAACGGAAATTCTTGCACAATATGTGTAATGCAGCAATGCGTCCACTTATGGGTTTCTGTTGGGCATCCAGTTTCTTTTTTCGTCTTCCCACATTGCCTGGTAAGGCACTGACAGCTTTGCCGGTTTCAGCCACTTGATAGACATGATCAATGTTATTGAGGGTAATATCGTTGCGGGAGAGCAGTAAATGTTCCTGGGCCAAAGATGCAACAGATGAAAGCGTTGATTCCCGCTGCAAAGGAACAAAGGCCAATTTAAAATTCGTGACACTTAATAGACCAAAAACTGCCTCCTTGGAACCTCCATTTGCCCCTCCTCCCTCTCCTTCACCAATCAAGTCTATGGGGGCAATCGATGGAAACAAATAGGCCGGTGCAGAGGCCACCACCAATTCATTGGGCAACAGACGGGGTTTTGCCAAATGCACATCGCGCATATCTCCCGGCAGATTCCATTCATCATCGGTCAAGGCAGAAACATCCCCTGCTGGAGGTGCAACATAACTGGTGAAGGTATTGCGCTTACGTTGATGATCCATTACCAAGTTCATAATAAGGCCGCCGTCGCACAACAACAACAACTGCTACACGATGTCTTCCGTCGTTCCGTTTGTGGTAATTTGGGCACAAACGTTTTGAGCATAAATAATTATTGCTGATATCCGGTCGGTTCGGTCAAACGCCCTTATTTGCCACAGAGACCGACCGACAAACACACAGGCCGAGCTTATTGCACACAACAGTAATTCTAATGTCTATTTTAGTTAAGGCAGGCAGGCAGACAGACAGACAGCTAGGCAAATGGCACAACTTTCTTTCCCACCAACGTCCCAACGTCTGCGATTACTTTTTCGCCCCAAAATACCCACAAAAATTATGATGATGATGACGATCTTGCCGTGCCGTGTCGCTGATGACTGATGCTTGGCTGTGGGGCTATGGTTTGGGATTTTTTTGTTATTATTATTTTTATAATTTACTTTATTGTTGTTGTAATCTCTGTGTCATGTTTGTTGGATGGATGATTCTTTTTTTATTCATTCGCCTGCTTGCTTATCCCCCTAAAACGACAACCAACCAACATCGACGACGACAGCAAAAACAACGACGGCAACGTCAATGTTTGGGTCTGATGATATTAGTTTTTGTTTTATCAAATCTCTTGAAGCTTTCGAAATGTTTCCATTTGTAAACTGTTTGATTTGTACAATTTTTGCAATTAGTTCACTATTAATTATAATTTCCCGTTCTTTGTTTGCCTTCGTTCGATTTTTTTTAATTTTTTTATTTATTTCTTCGTGAGTTTCTTGTATTTTTTTGACAGCTCTTCATGGTGTTGTGAGAAGGTTGAGTAATGGGTAATTTACAGTAACTGGGTACTCTTTGAGTACAGAGAGAGGGATATATTAAACAGGGTATGAATAGAATTTTATTTATATTTTCGAGTAAATATTTTATTTATTTAAAAATTGAATTATAACACGGAACACGAATTTTATAAAAAAAAAATAACTTCAAGACATATTCCAAAATAGTTGCTAACTTTCTACATAAAAACATTATCTCTGTGTATAAATGTATTAATTTGAATAGTAATTTAAATTAAATGTGAAGAGATAAATATTCGATTAAAACAGAAGCAGCATCTAGAAAAGGAGAAATCAGGTTAATTAATTTTTAGACTTTTGGTATTGAAAAGTGACCATATAGGTCCACGTTTTGGTATAGTCTCTATTTTCGTTATTTTGGCGATTTATGCGACATTATTCTCCGGAAATTTTTCAAATTTGGTATTTGAAGTTCGTAATGGATACTACAGCCTATGACAGAAAATTCTCCATGGAGGTCCACGCCTTCGTAAAGCCCCCATATAACGGCACCTCCCGATCTTCGGTATTTTGATGATTTTCGCGACATTATTTACAGGAATTGTTTCAGGTCCACGTCTTCGTATACACCTTAATATAACGGCTACATTCGGTATTTTTAAGATTATAACAGAATTTTTAACGGATTTTATTTTAGTGATAATTGCTAAATTCGTTTCAAATGGTAGTTCAAATAATAATGGAAAACGATGGCCGGCTTTTAGTGCGGCTCTGTAATACCTTTATGAAATGTCACAAAATATGCCTAGGCATGAATTCAAGCTTCTTATGTACTTACACCCTTATAGTACGTTTATATATATGAGGGTTAACCCACTGGATTTGGATTTAAATTGTCATATCCATTACTTTTACTTCAAATAAATCCTCTCAAAGTAGGTTAACCCTACAAAAAGTTCTAATGTAAACATGGCATTACAGCTTTTTACTAGTTTTTCTATAGACCCTTCATATCTCCACTGCACTTTAAGGAAATTAATGTCCTTTATCAGAACTTATAAAAATCTACTAATTTTGCCATTTTTTGTCGATATCATAAAGGAACAATCGGTGTCTAATTAGTTTTACATTCTTGCAACTGTCCATAAAACACTTAGCATCAAAGTCGGGCACTCTTTTTTCCCTCTTAAATTCATTTTGTTTTTGGAATTGGCATTTACAGTTCCATGCAATGAATACATTTTAGAACCCTGAAACTGAATTTTTCGCTTCTCTAGAACCCTACACATTGTTTTTACTTTTGATCAGAATTGGACACGAAACAAATCCAAAGGAGCCGGGAAGGCGACATCCAGTTGTATTTCGTAGTACACTAAAAGTACGTAAAATTTTCCACAGCTTCGTAGGCATTTTTGAGGAACCTAAAAGCCAAAGGCTGTTCAATAATAAAGTCATCAAAGAAAACATCAAATTCACCCCAAGCACTCATTAATTGGATTCTTTAATTTGTACTCTCCTGTTTCCCAGCTGTCCAACTGTGTTAAGGCTCTGCCTGTGCTGTGAACATAAGAATCCCTTAATCATCCCCCACAATGAGTTTTCCCTTGACAAATCCCAATAAGGAATCCGCGAGGGCAGCCTGCAAAAAATGTGGCTATGCCGGGCATTTAACATATCAATGCCGCAACTTTTTAAAGGTAATTAGAGCTATTATTTTTTTTTTTTTTGAATAACCTATGGATGTTTAATTATTTGTTACATCCCTGCAGGTTGATCCCAACAAAGAGATTCTATTGGATGTCGAAAGTACTAGTTCGGATTCAGAATTGGATTACCTAACCCCATTGACTGAGCTGCGCATGAAAGAGCTAAAGGAAAAGGAGGCGGAAATATTAAAGAAAAGTAGCACTAAGCCAGCTAAAGCCAAGTCATCTTCCAAAACTAAGAAATCTAAAAAGAAAAAGAGCCACAAACATAAAAGCAAAAAGAAACGTAGCAGCAAAAGTAAGAAACACAAAAAACGCGCAACACCACCCACCTCCTCCTCCTCTGGTTCAGAGTCTTCCTCCTCCCTGACGTCTTCGTCATCAAGTGATAGCAGCACGGAATCAGACTCAAGTGATAATGAAGAATCGTCAACAAGTGAATCGGATGAAAATGGTCGCAAATTGAAAAAGAAAGGCAAATATAAGCGTAAGGCTGTGGAAACACCGAATATGAGACGCAAGAAAACTAAAGTAAAGAGGAGACGTTACAAGACCACCGACACTACCAGTGATTCGGAGGAGGATTCTTTTTCGGATTAAAGAAGTAGTGAATATGATCTTTTGTCGCTTCTTTTAGAACTCAAGTAGTTGAACAATAGGACATTAACAAAAAAGAAAAATGACGCGATCATTACAATCCAAACATACTTGACACGGAAATTATTTCCAAGAAAAATTGGTTATTTATTTAGGTACTTACAATTGAAAAGAATTTATTCAAATGTGAATGAAACCGTATATACCCCTCAATATACATAAGATGTAGTAAATAAATATATTTATAATAACCAATTAGCATTTTATAAGACTGTCTTTTCAAAGTCTTAATTTTGAATATAACCACCGTATAAGTTATTTAATTTTTAAACCACCTATCAAATATAGCAATAATTTATGACAAACTTAATATCTTTTTTAATACATTTGTTCTTGCAATTTTCGATAGAAGAAAGTGAAAATTCCATTTAAGACTTGTCTCTTCATTTTAGTAACGTCAATACGTAATGTTTAATTAACAGACAATTATCTTATGTTATTATAGAAAACAAAAACAAAATAAAAAAAGTAAATATATATACAGTCATTTATGTATAATTATGTATATAAGATTATATGTATTTGTAGTATGGAAATTGCATTAAAAAAATACTTTTCATTTTGAATCGAATATTCCTTGTTATTTTTGTAATGTTTTTAGGGTTTGTTGTTTTATTGAGCTGGCCACAATGGCCAGAATTTTGTCCATATTTTCCAAATTATTGCTTTCCAATTTTTCATAAATATCAGCATATAAACTATTCATTATGTTTTTCACAGTTGCCTCCAAAGCATTGCTTTTTTCTCCCTCATCTTTCTTTGTCTTATCAGCTATTTCGTGTTTTAAATCTTCTATTTGTTTTTCATAATCACTGAGCAAATGTGTCTTTTCTTCTTCCAGCACTTTCGCCTTTTGTTTTTCTTCATTCAAGTCTTTTAAGAGTTTTTCGCTATTGCTTTCCAATCTCTCTAATTTCGTATTTGTTTCCTTCTCCAAGCATTCCTTTTCATTGAGTTTCTTTTGCAGGGAGGCAATGTTTTCCTGCTGGCTTTTGTTTTGTTCCAGCGAGTATTTTAAAACTGATCGTAAATCCCTCAAATGATTCATATCCAAATCACTTAAATCCTCCCTAAACTCATTGAGTATTTCTTTGGATTTTTCCGTAAAACTATCCTTTTCGTCTTTTCTTGTCTCCAATAGCTGTTTTAATTTTCTATTTTCCTTTTTTATATCCAACAATTTCTCCTCCAATTCCAATATTTCATCATCTCGGTGCTTTTTCTCTCTGCCTTCCCCCACAGCGCTCGACCTTTCCATTAAATCTAATTTATCCAAAACCTTTTCAATTTTGTTTTCCAATTTGTTAACATTCATGCGTAGCTCTGTCCCCTGAGTTCTCTGCTCGCTTAGCAGCATTTGCATATACTGGGATTCCATGAGGTTTGTGGCATATGCATTGGAAGGATTAAAGGCCAGTGTTGAGCTAATAATTTGTTGATTATTCTTCAGGTTGGCTATTTTATTTCGTGGCGCTATACTGGGTTTTGGTGGCAATGGCATTTTAATTACCTCCGTATCGGAGGAATCACTAAATTCTGTGGTGGTCTGCAGGGCATTGGATGATAGCTTGGGCAAAGGTTGTCCCATTTTGGCCATGCGTTGTATCAAGGCATTTTTGGAATCCGCTGGGCAGGGCTTGTCAGGGACATCAGGCAAATTAACATGACTACTTTCTTTTAAAGTTGTGTTTTCATCACTAATTTTGTCCTCCTCTGTGCTCGCCGTCTCACTCTCTTTAAACGTATGACCACATCTCAGTAATTTTTCTTGAAACTCTTCTTCATCTGGTGGATTATCGAAACTAAAACTCCAATATTCCTTATCAGCATCATAGAATTGCCAGTACTTTTGCTGTCTAAACAACAGTTGCTCGTTGCGGGGCAAATTCAGGGTGACCAACACTTGACTTTTGGATTTGTAGAGTAAAAGACTATAATCTTCATTGTCTGGATTCTTTGTCAATGCCAAACCAACCTTTCCCAATAGCTCTCCTTGCCGGTAAACTGTTACAACTTTCGCCAAAAGAGGTGGAGCCAATTGTTGGCCTTGTTTGCTACTGCTGGGATTTTCATTACTTGCTGGCTTTAAATCTTTGGCTTTGGGTCTTTTGTATTTCAACGATTGCTGTCGCTCATCAGGGCTATCATCGTCAACAAATAGTTGTTGCAGTTTTGAGGATTTCTTATCACTGCAAAACAATTTGGAAAAATTAGAAAGATATTCCTCAGTGTGTGAGCTACTTACCCTGTAAGGGTTCCAAAGAAATCCTCATCGGTATTTCCATCAAGATCGAAGTCGAACTTGCTCATTCTGTCGACAAGTAGTGATCTGATGCTCCTTTGGAACTTGGAGACCGGACAGACGGAACGATTCACTGTGAAGTGATAGCTCCCGATAAACAAACTTAATAACAGCTGACATGCGTACACTGTAAGAAAAAAAAGAATATGCTTTTTTATATTTTATTTTTTAGCACGCACAATTACAACAATTACACATACACATTTGTTTAACACATCTTCATGTTTTTTGCAATAAATTTTATACGAATTATATATAAAATACCTAAAATATTAACGACGCTACTGAGAAAAGAAATGAAATAACGAACAAAGAACACTGCGATATGGCAACACTGAAACGAAAGACAACAAAAAGTGTTTTCTAGATCGTAAGACTTTTTTGTTTACAAATGGGGGGCAGACACACAGTTCTTTACAATTCACTGTAAATTGATACTCACGACAAACAACATTAACAGCTGACAGCCGTACACACAAAATAAAATAATGAAACGAGAGGCACTGCAGAGAGAGTAGAATGAGCTGCCTCTGCTTCCAAAAATTCAAAAATTTTACTAGAAAAATTTTCTTATTACTGGAAAATTAAATTATTAAATTAAATTATTCACAATAAGTTGATATCTGGGGTTATAATAACAGTAAAAATCTATGTTAGATGCTAAACTGTTTCAAAACGTAAATTTTAAAATTTGGTGAAGGCTTTTCCTCTATCTTCTCACCCACAAGTTGAGAAATTGCACACGAATGATTTTAGAAAGGAAATCTTGTCATGTCTTGTTCATATATTCACAAACATTTGATATCTTTCCATTATGGATTACGTTTAAATGTCGTAAACTTTTGCATATATTACGGCATTAAAATTTACTATATAATTTTTGTGGCGTTAATATTTAAACTACAACTGCTGTTTAAAAAAGCGTATAAATCGGATACCAAAACCATTATAAATGGTAAAAATGGTGCCATGTTTACTTTTTAAAAGTGGTCACACAGAATTCCTCTATTTTTCTCACATACGAGAAATTGCCTACGAAATATTTGATAAACTGTTATTTTGGAAAGTAAACGTTTTCATCTTTTTTTTGGTATTCACATTTAATTGATATTTCCTATTATGGATTGTCGTACACTTTTGCATCTATTACGGCATTACAATTCACTTTATTTAAACATATTAGTTGTGTTCCAGAACCTGCAAATTAGTACTAATTAGCACTAATTCTGCTACAACGCGTTCCCGTACTCCAAAAACTAGCAAAACTTGCAGCTCTCTCGAGAAAAAATGGCACTGAGTGGTGCACATTTCTGCTTGTTTTAGCTACATGAATTTGGCCGAGCAGAAATGTGCATATTGTAAATTTGACATTTAATTGGCAGGGCTAACAAGGTTGAAAAATGTATTGATACATTTCAATAAAGAAAATGATCAACTTGAAAACTAAAGGAAAAACTAATATTTGTCGTGCAAAAAACAAAAAGAGAAAATATGGAGCAACTTTTCAACTTTTCACTTTTGGATGATTCCAGCAGTGAAGAGGACTGGCTGAATGAGGAATCAGATTATTATTTATTATTATAAATTATTAATTTTAACCTATCGTCTTCAATACTCATTTCTTAAATGTTGGCGCTCTTTTCAGTAAGGTTTCACCAGTCCGATTTAGGCTGTTTACTTTTGGAATTTTGAATTTTGACATTTTATCGCATTTCTGCTAATTTTCCATTCCCTTATTTTTTGAGCAAATCTAAATGAGAATGACATTTCGAACTGTTCTCTCTTCTGCTAGTTTTACTACTAAAAAAGTACTGGAACACAACTATTGTTATTAAAACTACAACTGCTGTTTAAAAAAGAGTTTAAATGGGACACCAAAAGTAGTCACACAGAATTGATAACAGACGATATCACACACAGGGTGACACACAATTTCTACATATATCACGTATAGCCAGGAAAAATAAATTATAGCCAGAGAGAAATGAAATACAAAGTGTTCCATTTCTCATCCTGACATGCAGGAAATATAAGGTGTCGGACAATTTGCTAAATATCAATAATAGAAATCTATTGTTATACATTACATTTAAACAGACTAAACAGTTACAATTCTGCTTCAAATATGATAATTGGATTGGGAAGAAAGGAAAGAAAAATTATCTATTTCCTTCGACAAATGCCAAAGATCAATCTTCAATTAAAGAAAATTATAAAATCGAGTAAGACTAACTATGACAAAATCATACTGCTGCATGGCCATAAAAAAGTTCCTGTTAGAGAAGTGCAGTGCTATTTATGCAAATAATTTTTTTTCATGAGTTATTGTCCAGTTCAAACAAGAATCCATGTGACGTTATTAAATTTTGCCAGTATTAAGACGTTGCGATAAGTCTTCTATGGAAGATTTTTCACTCGCCTTTACCCTTGAAAAGCACAATTGTTTACAATTTTGTTTTTACATTACCACGACCTTCAAAACAAATTGCCATTTCATAAATCGAAAAAAAAAAAAAAAACAATGGGGAAGTAATATAGATCAAAACAAAACAATAATTCACCAACATGTTTTGTTTTTGTTTACAAAACAATGTTCTTAGCTTTTCAGTCATTTAAAGAGCATTAATGAGAAAGGGTTCTTAAGCAGTGAAGATCCCTTACTGATGGAAACACACACGTACACGTGCGCTCACCACCAAAAACGAAACCGGCTGACCTTCGATCTAAAATTAAACAACAACAAACAGTCTACTTTAGAATAAAAAAAAAACAAAAACAAACACTCTGTTTCACTTGGAGTGCCATAAAAATGCTCCACGCACACACGTAGCCATGTAAACAACTTACAAACATAAATATGGGCATGGTTTTTGTTTACCACCGCAACGCCACATTGATATGGTAAATAAAATAATTAAAAACATCAACATTTGAAGATTGATTAGGAAATGTTTAAAGAGTATAAAAAATGGAGCGTCGTTATTTACAAGAAAAACGAAAATGAATTAACTTACCGTTGTAAATTTCGAAATGTTTTTTCCTTTTCGAGAACTTTACTATCGATGCCTAGCGCATGGGTTCTGTTTGTTACAGAATTTCATAAAAGATAAAGTTGGTCTAAAAAGAAGAAGTTCCAGTTTATGCACAATTGGGCGCCAAGATCGTCACGGGGCCTTGTTGGTCCGATTTATATTATATTTTATGGAAACATTTTTTTTCAACCATAATTTTCTCTAGAGAGAACTTTTAGCCATTAAAATTTTTAGATTTGAAAATGCTTAACAATATTAAAAAAAAATACTATGGTTCAAAAAAAAAAAAAAACAAGTAAAAGCCTGTAAGCTCGTCCGGGCCGAACTTTAAATACCCTCCACCATATGGAACGAATTAGACAATTTTCAAAAAAAAAAAAAATATAAAAACCGTTAAAAATTCTGTTAAAATCTTAAAAATACCGAATGTAGCCGTTATATATACGACGACGTGGACCTGCATAGGCAAATTATAATATTCAAACGCGAAACTTGAAAAAATCGGTGAATACCGAATATCGGGAGATACGGTTGTATGAGGGCTTCAAATACCAATTTTGAAATAATTTCGATGAATAATGTCGCTTAAATCATGAAAATACCGAATATCGGGAGATACCGTTATATGAGGGCTATACGAAGACAAAGACCTGCACAGACAATTTTCTGTCATAGGCTGTAGTATCCATTACGAACTAAAAAATCCCAAATTTTGAACAATTCCGGTGAATAATGTCGCTGAAATCATCAAAAACCGAATACCGGGAGATACCGTTATATGGGGGTTATACGAATATGTAGACCTGCACAAACAATTTTCTGTCTTAGGCTGTAGTATCTGTTACGAACTTCAAATACCAATTTTGAAACATTTTCGGTGAATAATGTCGCTTAAATCATCAAAATACCGAATATTAGGAGGTACTGATATAAGGGGCCTATACAAAGTCCTGCACCTGCACATGCAATTTTCTGTCACAGACTGTAGTTCCCATTACGAACTCTAAATACGTAATTTGAAACAATTCCGATGAATAAATAATGTCACTAAAATCATCAAAATATAGAATATCGGGAGGTACCATTATATGGTGGCTATATCAAAACGTAGACGAATATAAATCAGGGATGGGAATCTAATTTCAATGAAGTAAAATTTGACAAGATAAATTACAGAAAATGCAGAGATGGATATGCTTATTTAAAATTATGATTTTTTCAAAAATTTTCCCATGGTAGAATTAAAAAGGTAAAGTCATGCTCTCATATGTTTACAATTGTTTTCAAAATTATTCATTTGACAATATCTCATTGTCAAAATTTATATTTACAAATCCATTGTATACACGTACACACATCAGAGATGGGAACCAGTTTTTTTTGAAGTTAAATTACAAAAAATGCAGAGATGGATTTTTCAAAAAAAAAAAAAAAAGAATAATAAAAAATAAATAAATACATAAATAAATAAATAAATAAAATATTCCCAATGACATTTTCTCATTTAATTTGTTTCTTTTAAGGCCCCATTCCAGGCCACATTGCCGCTTCTTACCTCCACCATACCTCATTGGTCTTTATCACCATTTAGTTTGGGGTCTCCTGTAGTATTCTATTTCATATTGTTTTGTGTTTTTACTTTCAATTAAATTCTTAAATTAAAAACATAAACAATAACGTGTGGCCCGGCTACTTGGCTACGCAATGAAGCGTCAAGCGTAAAATAGATCAACAACGATGACGATTACAAATTGTCATTTGTTTTAAAGAGAGGTAAGGTGATGAGACGACATTGCTCACGTTTACCCTCTATTGTGAGAATTTTCTTTGGAATTCAAATGTAGAACAAAATAACGTCATAAAATAATGAAACAAACATGTTTAGGTGAACAAACACACGTACTCATATTTTTTTAACATCATACGTGATCATTCACATTTTAATACATTTTTTGATAGATTTACAATAAAAAAAAACTAATTTGGAAAATAGAACAAGTTTTAAAATTTAAAAATCTAACATTTATTTTCAAGTCTCTAAAATTTAATGGCATTTATGCTTATTGTCTC